CTGCCATTTTGGTCCTTTATCATGCCCATCTTTGCATGAAATGTTCCCTTCATATCTCCAATTTTCTTGAAGAGATCTCTGGTCCTCCCTATTCTATTGTTTTCTTCTATTTTTTTGCATGAACATTGGTAGCACGCAAAAGAACTATACGCAAAGTATCTCTTAACTAGATACAATCAACTCACACAAAGGCTGATCCCGTTAAGAAATGAATTAAGAGGACAGAGGAAGACTCCCTATGCAATTTTTCAAAGAGCATGGACTTTTGACTCCAAGGAGAATACCTTTGATGTAGCCTCGCTCCCGCAGGGCCTGGAGTGTTGGCCGCCTCAGCAGAAACTTTCGAAGCTTGTTGCGGACTTTGTTGGCATCGCAGTCGGAGCTGAGGGAGCTGGTTGAATGCCAAGAGGCTACAGAGGCAAAAACGGCCATTTTAGTGAAGGAATACAGAGAGGGCAAACTTCTCTTTCAAGACAATTTTAGGAGCTTTTCACCCATGATGAGTCCTTGCCCAGATTCTTTGATGTGGATATATAATTAATATTAGCTGGAATGTGAATTCAGTTCAGAAATGACCTCCTCCTGTTTTCTGTCCTGTATAAACATCATTCACCAGTCTGCACAAGTAGCACAAGAGCAATTGTGAAGGTCTTTGCAGTTATGTATGAAAAAACCTTTGACAATAGCTTTGGGCACCACATGTATCTGGGAAATTCAATGGATAATCTAGCCAGCATGGCAGGCGTGAGACAAGGGTGTCTCCATTACTATGATCATGGGCAGCGGGAGGTACAGCACTGCAGGATTAACAGACCAGCTGAAAGGAGCAGTGGGACACTTCTGTTCTGGGTCTTCCTCCAACTAGGTGGTCCTCTCTGCCTGTCTTACCACTGTACTCTCAGGTCTGGTGCTCCTGCTATTAAATGTCAGTTCAGTACTTCCTTGTCCAACATTTAACTGCAGATAAGCAGGTTGATCTAACGTACATTCCTGACAGTTGGGTGGGGGAAGACAGAGAGGGGTCAGTCTGGCCAAGCTCTGCTCTCCTGGACACTTCCTGCCTTGAGGATCAGGGAGGGTGGGGTTTGCTGTGTCAGCAGAATGCTGTCTCCTCTAGGCTCCCAGTCTCATTGAGTGTCACTCTGGAGTGGTTCTACCTTGCATTGTGTACTTGGGACTGATAAGGGATTCTGCCGCCCCACAGTTATATCTCCTGCCCCACAGTTCTTCAATATCCCTGCCTGAGCTGACTGAGATGGTCCCATATGTAACATTGAAGACCGCAAGTTTACTATCAGGATATTTTGGGGCATGTTGTCAAAAGCTTTCCTGAAGATATCAAGAGACATGATGTACACAGTATTTCCACAGTCCACCAGGGAGGTTACCCAATAGATGGCCTAAAACATGTAGGAGGGCACATGCTTGATCTGATTTCCTTGACTAGTCAGGAGGGTAGTGGGGGAGCTAACATCGATTCACTGTCCTAGTTGGATCACTTCCTACTGAGCTTTAGACTCACAGAGGCCTTTCCCCTCTGCAAGGCTGGGGGACCTAGTAAATGGTCTGTCCACAGAGGGTAACAGATCCCAGAGGACTGTGGGAGATTTTCCTGCTGGTTTGACTGGCTGTCCTGTTAAAGGCCCAGGTCATTCTGTGGAATGCAGACATAATTTGGGCAGCTGACATGATTACATTCAACCACCTTCTCCCTCAGATCAGCCATTTCCTTGTTATATACCTGAGCTGAGGGCAATGTACAAGAGAGTGAATACCTAGAATACAGGTAGAAGAAAACTTGACCAAACACAACTCAGAGCTCATTATTGAGTCTACTATTTGATGGTAAAGGGAGTGGCAAAAAGCAAGTTCTTTTCCACCCAGTGTTGTCTAGCAGAGCTTTTCCAAAGGTTTATGACCTGCTACATTTCAGGCCAACAAAAGAAATGATGGAACACTGGGCAGCATGCCACACCATGTTTGTGCAGCATTTTGAAGAGAAAGATGTTCACATCTGCCATGAATTGGACACCACAATCGATGCGATTCCATTAGCAGAGGTGCCCACAGCATTGCCTGGTCCAGTTTTATTGGATGAATTCCACTTGTTGAGTTCCAAGGAGGTGCACATGTTGTTTGACCAGTTCCAGTTGACTACTTGTTTACTTGTCTTCATGACTTATTACATCTAATAGGAAGGGGATATCAGGCTGGAGCCAGGAGATCACAAAGTCTTGCTTGAAAGAAGTGGAGTTGGCCTCCTTATAGCAGGTAGTAGTAATGAGGTCATCCCTGAAAAAGCCTAACCTGGATCCAGGTGACGATAGCAGCTAGGTCTACAGCAAACATTCCCTTCCTGGGCAAAGTGCTTGAGCACATAGTTGCTGGTCAACTGAACAGGAAGACACAAGCTGCACCCACTGCAGGGTGGGGTAGGCTTTTTTCCCAACAAAGGCTCTGCATGTATGTGTGGGGCAGAAGCTGAAACTGATTTTCAGCTTTGGCTACAGGGCAGTATAGAAATGATGATGGTGGTGGTGGTGGTGATGATGATGAAATAGAGGAGAGACAGGAAGACTCCCAAGTAAACTAGGAAAAAAGATTTTCATGTTCTCTTGATATTATGCTATCTCTAAGTGATTAAAATTTTACAAATCATATCAAGAAGTCTTCAATTTTGAAAATTTACTTCTCTCTCAAAATTGTCTATTTGTAGAAAAATATAATTCATATAAGAACTTTTGCCAGAATTTATATGTGCATGACATTTCAGCTCTCGTTAAAAGCAAACACATTTCTGAGTTCAGTTTCACATCAAGCAACCTATTCAACAGTTACAGTGATTGGGTTTGCACAACACAACAACCTGCTGTGGCTTCTAAGCCGAAATGGATGGTCATGTTATGCAACCCAGGACTGTCAGGGTAGCTTATTTTGGCTTTAAAGCCATCCCGACAAGCCATAGCCTGTAGTTGTGTTTGTTTTACCCAAAAGGGATGGCTCTGCAATGGGTGATGCCCGACTACATGCAAGCCTCTTTGCAAGAGCAGCAAAATTACTGGCCGCTCTTGCAAGGTGGCTAATAGGCCAGCACCATGGCCAGCCTCCTACAGGGAGCATGGAGGGAAGCTCCACCCAGCTTCATCACTCTCTGCTCTTTGTCACAGCATGCCCAGAAGGGCTTGCAGTGTTAGTGGGGAGCAGGGATTGCTTCTGCCAGCTGGCTCCCACACCTCCCACTGCCACCGTGAGTGCTTTCAGGCATGCAGCAGCCATGGGGAACAAAGATAGGAAGCTGGTGGATAGCTGCCTGAAGCAGTCCTGGCTCCCATGCTTGATGGTTTGACAGATTGCTGAGGGAATCTTGTCCTTCTCGCAGTGATGGAGGGGCTGCAGGAGAAGACTTTGTTCCTTCCTCAGTGTCCCCTGGGGTTCCTGAGGGAGGGCCAAGATGGGAAGGAGGTGAACACAGATCCATGATATGCCTGATCATCTGTTGGGCAGAACACGGGACTGTAAGTGATTAAGTGTGGTTTATGCCACAGTGTGGGTTAAGGTCGAATTTGTGCCACCCACTGAATATTAACACTGATGTGAAATCTTCTCACCTTCTTTCTCTTTGCTGCTTCCTACTTGTTCCTTAGATCTGAAGTCTGCTGAATTTTCTTCATTGCTGTCATGACGGAAGTCTGTCACCTGCAAAAAAAATACAGAGTAACCCATGTCACACCAACCACAATACAGTGACTTTTGCCTTTCTGAAGTGACACAGGGTGCTTCCAGACAGATGGCCCTGAAGCTGCCAGTCATAAGGCACTGTGTGGCTCACCTTTCCCTCTTTAATATGCATTTCTGTGAATTAAAAAAATGTATTGAGAGGGAAATCAGGAAAGGGTTGCAAATGAAACCTCTTTGATATCCTTTCTGTGAATAAGGGGGGCAGTGGCACCATCCAAGCCTCACTTGGAAGCACTCTTGGTGTATGGTCCCTCATGTGTACAGGTCATAAAATAAACTCTACATGACTAGACTGTGACTGGGTTTGCATGACAGACTGATCCCTTGTGGTTGACAAGCACAGCGGGTGGTCACTTTATGTGAACCTGTACCACTGCCCACAGGGCAGCTTATCTGAAGGCAACAAGCCTCTCTGATAGCCCATGGATTATTCTGAGAGTTTTGTACCCACACTGGGCTGCCATGTGGTCAGAATCTGGGTGACCAACTCCATTGTGAGGACAGGGAAGTAGTAATCATTCTTGTTCAGGGCAGCAGCAAGTCCCTTATATGTATACATTATATGGCAGACTCATTCTATGTTGCTGGCATTTAAGATCTATTTATATCTCTTTTGGGCTTGGACTTATTCTACTTGATGATCAAACTGTTCTTGCAGCAGTAAGTCCCAAAAACAGGTAATAATTTAGACCTGTTCTAGACAATTGAAAGCATTGGTTTACAACAGTATGGGGATTTTAACAGTAGATAATTTACAGGTGTAAGATGCAGCCTCATAAAGATGAGAAACCAGATCATTTAGAAATAGGCTGAAAAAAAAGAGGGGCACAATACAGTCCTGCCTAACAACTCAAGTAATAAAATTGGGTATCAGATTTGTCCCTACTGCCCACATTGTACTTGTCTGGACGTTTGGTTATATAACCAACTAATAAGAAATAATATCCATTTGCCTATAGAGGTTTAGTGTTACTTGAACCACAGTAACTGCCATGGGAGCAGGTTATTATTATTTATTATTATTATAACATTTCTATGCCGCCCCTTGCCGAAACCTCGGGGCGGCTTACAACATGATAAAATACATTGAAATACAATAGTACATAATAAATTACC